CTAACATTGTTTTGATGTATTCTATAAACTCAAAAATTAGTTTCATTTACGTACTTAAAACTGATAGATGTTTATTACATGAATACTGACCAACACTGATATGTCATGATTTCTTTTGTTTTAAATCATAGAAAAAGCTAAATTATTTATTTTTCCCTCAAAAGAGTCGCATCTAGTGATAAGACAAATTGAACACACATCATGAATTTTTTCAAAAACATTATCATGTGAACAAAGACTAAAAAGAATAATATTTTCTAAAAATTGAAATCGAGGTGAAACCATTCCTTAGTAACGTGTCCTCATAAAATTAATACATATGTATCTTGGGATAATGAAATTTCCTAGAATTAATTTTTACATGTTAAATGTCTGTTAAAAGATTCTAGGTACCCTGAAAAAAAATAAACACTAGAGAACTTTGTTCAGAATAAAAATTCCAAATGTAGGTAGTGCTTTTGAAAACCAAATAGTAAATTCTATAGGTAAATCCAGAGACTAGCAAATATCTACTCAAAGTATTTTCTGAATTCTCTTATAACGGAATAAAAAGCTCAACATCAATACCAAACATTAGAAATCTGTCTTCATAATCTCTAGATGATGGTAAATCAAAAAGTTTTTTATTTTGGTACTTGAAAAAAATCTCTGAAAAACCGAATTTTAAGAGAAAGTTTTTTGGAGTTCGATCTCACCGAAAATTTCACCATTAACACGGCCGTAAAATTCATCATGAATTTTCCGAAGTTTTTCTTGTATGATTAGAGAGATATTTTCAAATTAGAATATAATTAATAGTTATTTGAAAGAGTTAACATTGTTATTAGATATATTTATGCTAAATGAACTTATTTTGAAAAATAACTCTTGTAACTGGAGTGGCTCATATATAATTCAGTTATCATGTTGATGGGAGTGCTCATTTTGACACTTACTTTTAAATTCGAACAAATTTTTCATAAACCATAAAGCTACAAATATCACATTTAACATAACCTCGATGGCATACAGTAATCAAAAGACTCTTCAGTGAAAGAAGAAATTGTTGATTATTTTACATTTATAATAGAAATTTTTAAAAATCTTATCAACGTTATGGAAGTATTGAATGTATTCATAGATATTGATTTGAATGCATGATTACAAGAAAATAGTTGTTTTTTTTAGAAAAATTACATCAAAGAAATTTTAATCTCAAGAGAATCACATAAGCATTATCAACATGTTTTATTCATCGTTTATTTTGTTTTTAGCCTTGAACAGTACATTCCTCATATATAGTAATAAATAAAAAACCTATCAGTACATAAAAATAGTTATTAGCAGATCAATGTTGTGACTTTCAAGAATATTTGAATAATATGACACTTTTACATATAAAAATATCTTGAGCTGAAATTAGCTGTTATAGACAATGAAATTCAAACTGACTAAATTAATTTCGATCAGTGTTCCAGGCAAATAAAAGAAAACACAGCAGATGTCTAATAATTCAAATCCGAATTTAGCTTCCCATTCAATAGCATGAAAGTTTATTAACATTTGAACATTCTAATTTCGTTTGCATGTATCGCAATAAGAAGCAATACCATTACACCTAGCATTTTCAGTTATATTACATTTCTTTCAAACTCAAAATTTTCTCAAAATTAATCTTCCAATCCGCACAAAATAATCATAAGATAATCTAGTAAAGTTTGTCTTTTCACACTGCTACGGTTGAATTAAATCCACTCTTCAAACTTCCCACCATTTAGCTCGACGGTTCTCGTTCTTCGTCTGAATTGTTCACGTATAACTAGACAACAATCGCTATTGCAAGATATTATAATCACCACCTGACTACAATTACCACATTGAAGTTAAAATTCCATCAGTTTCTCTGCAACATTCATATTCTATTGAAATTGTTTCTTAACTGAAATGTATGTGACAGTTTAATAGAATACTACATTTCCTACAGATCATTCCGTAAACTAAGACTGAAAGTGATTTGCTTGAGAAAGCCTACGGATCGGTAGCGATAAGTTTTTCACTGATATGAGTAATAAATTGCGAACTGATACTCAAGATGCGTCATTTAACTTAAACCTCATACGAAATCTCACTATTAGATGAATACTACCGAAGTGATCACTTGCTAGATGAAAGATAAGTGTTTAAATTGTTGATAGAACTGATTTACTCTGGTATACTTTGCAATATTCATTCAATGTAAAGAGTTGTTTGCAAATACTATCGTACTTATGATACAGGTCTTAAAGATAGCGAAAAAAATCAATATTTACTTATTAGTATAAGACAGAAAATCCACAAAAATGTTTATCTTTTTTTCTCTTTATCTACTTTTTGTTTCTGCTACAAGCAAGTTACTATTATATGTGCATACCAGTTATTCTCAATTGAGTTTTCACAATCATCATTTTTGACTTTCAATCATGAAATCTCTGCGTTTTCAAAAATCTAGATAAAAATTATTTTAATAGGAACTCGTTCAATGATGTTTTTTTGTCAATTGTACTTTCCAGATATTTGACTTCAGCAGAAAAATTGTTTTGATTTCTTACTAGTTTCGAATACTATATTAACCTGCCAAACCCAATCGATTACCAATTTTTCTATGGATCCTAACGCTGCCTAAAATATACTTTCGGTGAACCTTTTAGATCACCAATAAGTCGTTTATTGACGCCTCTACAAAGCGCCATATACAGCTAGCTGCTCACATGCCTAAGTCGACTTGCCCTATTGATCTTCTTCTTTCATTTACAAATCTAACCGATTCAAGTCTGGCTTCTCGTGAAAAATTGTTTGACTTATAATAGAAGAGTTCTCAGTAGAAAACTTCACATATCAAAGTTTGTTGTGAATTAATCATTATAATTATAATTTCACAATCTTTCTCTGAAATCAGTGTAATATTAAAATTCCTCCTTAATGAAATCTTGGTGGAATTTTCTTGAAAAATAAAATCTCTACTTTCGTAAAATAGTTTTTTCTTGATAAAAGAATCAAATCTAAGAATTTCTCGTTCCTCGTCACCTGGTCACATAATTGTTTGGTAACGACAATCTTTCGTCTCTAATCTATTCCGAACAATTCTAAGAATAGGTATTGATGCATTCCTATTAAGTCATCTATTAAACAAATAATCATCACTAATGTACATTATCGATCGTCTTGATAGTCCCATTTATTTTATGTTTATTGGCCTTCATATGAATATATGCATACATACATACATACATACATACATACATACATATATACATACATACATACAAATACACAAGCACGTGATGACACAATCATACATGATGATAGCTTATCAAGCCTTCGACGCGTACATAACGAGCGAAAAAATTGTGAAATACGACCTTCAATTTAAAAGCAATCGATAGCGGGATATAATATCAAGGCCTATTGTGTACATTCATGCTGCATGTAAGTATCGTTTTTCCATCGTGGTCACATGCATTATTCAAGTCTCTTGGTGCAATTGTATCTATTGCGGCTAGTCTTGTATGGTTCGCTACTATAATTGCATTGTTTAGTCTATGGGCTCGAGATGGTTTTGTTAAATACCAAGTGGATGATGGTGAAGTGGAATATATCTCTAATGTAGGCGCCGTATATAAGACAGTATTTATAGTAGGTACAGCTCTTACGGGATCGTTCTACATTTTAACCCTTATTTTCGTGAAACTCTGGTATGATCCGAACACATTTCGACGACGCAAACACGTTATTTCTTTCATTTTGGTTCTGTTTGGTATCGTCTCCGGTGTATCTTTGTTACTATTGGCTATTTTCGACTCAGCCAAGCATAGTGGTGTTCATTACACCTTTACTGGATTGTTCTTAGTATTTAGTATTCTTACAGCCATTCTCACCGTTTTCTATCGATTCACACGATTTCAAAACAATTATGCCATTCTCATTCTTTTAAGTTTCTTAGGTATTGTTATTCCAATTGTTATTGCTCTGGTCACCATTGGTTTAGTCGGTGCACATACCAAGAGAACAAATCTTAAATCAGTTTCTGCATGCATGGAATGGTCTGTGGCTATATTGTTCGGCCTATATTTTGTTGTCTTCGCTGTGGATCTGTTGCTTTACAATTGATGAACGATATGTATTTAGACGTTATAGCGAATAAAAGCAATAGATATGCAGAAAATTGATATCTTGGTGCTGAAAATGCATGTATTTTAAAAAGCAACGATGCGGATTGGAAAGATTTCATATGTCCAGATATTGCTTGAATAATGCATTTGTGCAGCTTTTAACAAATTATTCTAGCCTACGTCTATGACTTTTTTCCGCGCTAAGTAGTTGTAAGCAACAGATTTAATTCAAAGCTAGAGTGTAAAAGAAAACAAATAAGAGTTTTCTTTGTTGTTTTGAAAGATGTATTACTCATCATCAACATTTGATATCATTAATTGATAGAAGAATATAAATTTCGTAGCAATAAAATGCTCTATTTTACAATGCAAAATGATTAAATGCAATTTCAATTGTTTAAAAAAAAAGTTTTTATTTTTTATTTTATCATATATGAAAGAACGAAAAACAAAAAACGATAATTATGCAAAAACAAATTTACGAAAAATTTCTTTTTTTTGTAAGCTAATTATTTGTTGTTTTTGTCCAATGACAAAATAATATTTTTTTCGTCACTTTTTTTCTACCACATGTTATAAAATAAAAAAAAAACATACTCTCAATTGGTAGAAAGAAGTGACTTAGGAGTGCTATAAAAAAAATAATAATGTAAATGTTTAGAATTGAAAGCACAGAGGTATTTTTTACAGCATAGATTTCGTCTATTCTGTAAGACAATAGCAATACGTTGATTAACTCTGATCATTAATATTTTTTATGTTTTTATCAATAGTTAAAATATTGTTAGCAGATTTTTGATATACATGGCGGCTTTTATTATCGTCAGATATATTGAGTTCTTGTTCAAATTGAGTAATTAGTCAACGTACCTTCTAGTTATCATCTGCCTTAGATTGCAGTTTGTCTTGATCAGGTATATTCGTTGAAGCATAATGTCCTTTTGCATCTTGATGTTGTGTTAGACTAGATGATGCATAGAAGCCATCGTTGCAGACCGAACAATAGAATAAGTGTTTTTTTTCCTTTTGATGTTCACGAAGTGCTTGAGTCGTACTAAATTCATTAGTACAATGAGGACATGACATTAAATTGTCCTCTTTTTTTGATGTATCATCATCGACACGTGATGATATTCGTTCACGTGAGCGAAACGCAGAATGATTTCTTTGATTTAATCGACTAGTACTATTTCCTTGACGTATTCGAGTTTGTGGTGCAACCATTGAGTTCGAAGCAGTTGAAGGAGTATTAATACCACCATAATAAGTCAACATTGGCTTAATAGGCCCAATGTTTTGTCGTTGTCGTGATCGATTACGATTGTTTCGATAATAATTTTGGCTTGCACTTCGAACATGTTGATACGTGACTGGAGGTTTTGAATATAAAATATCATTCTGACGAGGATTATTTTTGTCATATAAATTGGATTTTGTCGTTAAACGTGATTCTCTTAATTTTGGAGTTGGCATTCGATCTGCTTTAGTATTATAATTTACTCGATCATTCGAAACTAACTGTGAATCAGTTGATCTATTTTCCGGATTTAGTTCTTGTTGTTGTAATGATTCAGTAAATTCTTCCCACGAATAATGAGCATTGACTGTTGCTTTTAATTCTTCTTTGGCTAGTTTATTATGTATAACAATGACTTGAAATCCAGCTTGATGACGAAGATCATTTAGTTTTCCTACAAAATCAATATCACCAGAAATCAAGACAACAGTAGCTGGTGGACGATGAACACG